ATGTAGATTATACAGGTGGAGTCATGCAAAACATATTTCTGTATTAGTCATGTTGTGAAAGAAAACATAGACAAAAAAGAAGAAAGAGAGAAAGAGAGAAAGAAAGAAAGAAAGAAAGAAAGAAAGAAAGAAAGAAAGAAAGAGAAACAAAAAAAGTTTCCTTCAATCTGCATTCAGATTCCAATTAGTCCTTTCTCTGGAAGTGGATTTTTTTTTTTCATCATAGATCCTTTGGAATTGTCTTTATCAGAGTAACCAAGTTTTTCACAGTTGACCATCATACAATATTGCTATTACTGTGTACAATGTTCTCCTGTTTCTGCTCACTTCACTTTACATAATCAGTTCACGTAAGTCTTTCCAGGTTTTTCTGAAAGCATTCTGCTTTTAATTTCTTATAGCACAAAAGTATTCCATCACCATCATATACCACAACTTGTTCAGGCATTTCCCAATTGACTGGCATCCCCACAATTTTGCCACCACCAAAAGAGCTGCTATAAATATCTTGTACATAGAGATCCTTTTCCTTTTTCTTTGATTTTTTTTTGGGATACACTATGAGTTATACCACTAGGTCAAATGGCATGCACAGCTTCAAAGCACTTTGCGCATAGTTCCAAATTGTTTTCCAGAATGGTTGAATCAGTTTACAACTCTACCAATGGTGCTTTAGTGTCCCAATTTTCCCACATCATCCTCTCCTACATTTGTCATTTTCCCTTTCTGTCATATTAGGCAATCAAACAAGTGTGAGGTGGTATCTCAGAATTTTGTTTTGTTTTGTTTTGTTCTAAATTTTCATTTCTTTAATCAATTCATTTGAAAACTACCTGTTCATGTTTTGTAACCATTTGTAAACTGGGGAATGACTTAACATTCTTATAAATTTAACTCAATTCTCTATATATTTGAGAGATGAGACCTTTATCAGAGAAACTTACTATAAAAATGTTTCCACTGTTGTGATTGTTAACTATTTATTTCCCTCCATCCCATTTTTTCCCATTTATCCTTCTCTCTCCTTTCATCCTGTCCCTCCTCAAAAATGTTTTGGTTCTAACTACTACTTCCCTCAATTCATCCTCCCTTCTCTCAGCCTACCACATCCCTTCAAAAGAGAAGGGGAAAAGATCCCCTTCCCTCCTAATTCCCTGTAGGGTAAGATATATTTCTATACTGAAATAACTGTATATGTTATTCCCTCTTTGAGCCAATTCTGGTGAGAGTAAGATTCAAGCATTTTCTGCCACCTTCCATCTTTCCCTCCACTGTAAAAGTTCTTTCATGCTTGTTTTATGTGAGATAATTAAGCCCATTCAACCTCTCCCTTTCCCCTTCTCCCAGTGGATCTGTCTTTCATATATGTATATGTATATGTACACACATATATGTATATATGTACATACATATGTATATATGTGTATATGTACATGTGTGTGTGTGTGTGTGTGTGTGTGTATTCCCATCATGGTCAACTCATACCCATGCCCTCTATGTAGATTTCTTTTAACTACCCTAATAATGAGAAGGTTCTTAGGCATTATAGATATCATCTTCCCACGTGGGAGTGAAAGCAGTTTAACCTTGGGATATTGCATCCCTTATGATTTCTCTTTCCTGATTACCTTTTTATCCTTCTCTTGAGTCTTTCTCTTGAAAGTCAAATGTTCTATTTAGCTCTGGTCTTTTTATCAGGAATGCTTGAAAGTTCTCTGTTTCATTAAATATCCATTTTCCCCCCTGGAGATAAGATTCAGTTTTACTGAGTAGGTGATTCTTCATTGCAATTCTAGCTCTTTTGCTCTCTAAAATATATTCTAAGTCCTTCAACCTTTAATGAAGGAGCTACTAAATGTTGCATTATCCTCACTGTGGTTCCACAATATTTCAGTTGTTTCTTTCTCGCTGCTTACAATATTTTCTTCATGACCTGGGAGCTCTAGAATTTGGCTTTAATATTTCTGGAAGTTTTCGTTTTGAGATCTCTTTCAGGATGTAGTCAGTAGATTCTTTCCATTTCTTCAGAAAAACCCCAAAAGACTTGTATGGACTGATACTGAGTGAAATAAGTAGATCCAAGAGAACATTGTACACAGTAACAGCCACATTGTGCAATGACTGACTTTGATAGACTGACTTTTCAACAATACAAGGATCTAAGACCACCCCAATTCTAATTTTTAAGGAATTATTTTCTTCAGTGTGCCTCTTTTTCCATTTGGCCAATTCTACTTCTTAACAGATTGTTTTTTTCCTTCAAGGAAATTTTGTACATTTTTTTTTCCATTTGGCCAATTCTGATTTTTAAGGAGTTCTTCTCTTCAGTAGATTGTTGTGCCTCTTTTACCATTTGGCTTATTTTTTTTAAGGTGATATTTTCTTTAGTATTTTTTGTGTCTCCTTTACCAAGCTGTTGATTCTTCTCATTATTTTATTTCATAGATGTCATTTATTTTCCCAATTTTTTTCTCTACCTCTTATTTGATTTTTTAAATTCCTTTTGAGCTCTGACAGGAATTTTTTGTGGCCTGAGACCAATTCACATTTTTCTTTGTGGCTTTGGATATAGCTATTTTGACTTTGTTGTCTTCTGAGTTTGTGTTTTGATCTTCTCTGTTACCATAAAAACTTTCTATGGTTATGCTCTTTTTTTTTTGTTTTTGTTGTTTGCTCATTTTTTTCCAGCCTATTTCTTGACTTTCAACTTTATGTTAAAGTTGTGCTCTCTTCCTGGAGTAGAAGGGGCACTGTCCCAAACTTCAGATTTTTCATGCTGCTTTAAAAAAAAAAAAAACAACTAGTTCTGGGGGTCTGTAAGTTTTCAGTTCTTTTAGGGTGGGATGATCTAAGAAGAGGTGTGGTCACCACTCTTCTGGCATACGCTCTGGTTTGTGAGCTACCAAAAGCCCTATTCTCTGCCCTGAAATCATGACCACAGCTCCTCTATCCCGGTGGCTACAGGTTTGAGTGCGCCTGTGTTCCTACTCCTTGTCCTGCAACTACAACTGGAAACCACGTATGGACAATACAACAGAGTCCTAAACACAGTGCCAACCTGATCTGGGCTGAGAGTTCCAGAAACTACTGCTGCTGATTTTGTCACTCCTGCTAATTCAGTTGTTCCCAAGGCCTGCTGCTTGTTTACTAGGGTGTGATCTATACTGGACTGAGTTCCACTTGCACCTCAATGAGACGGACTTTTCCTGCTGAACTTCTAAGTTGTCATGGGCTAGAAAATTGTTTCACCCCATCCTTTTGTTTGTTCTGCCATTTCCAAATTCATTTTGAGGTGTTATTTTAAATTTGTTTGGAGGGGAATTTGGCAGAGTTCAGGCAAGTCCCTGACTTTACTCTTCCATTTTGAAGTTCTAATCATCTTAAATGTGAGTGGCTTGAGTTTTACTTCCCATCTTTGGGTCTAGAAGAATGGAGCTCCTTGAGGTTAGTGATCATTCTGTTTGTTTTGTCTTTGTGCTGCTGAGTGCTGTGTCTTACACACTAATTACTTAATAAATGTTTAATGTGAAGGTCCTTTTTCAAGGTATTCTTTCTGAATGAGAAAGGTAGCTGGATCAATTGAGTTGATGCTCTAATTTGAGTTCCCTGAGAATAAGGAATATCAGTTGTTGGCAGGGATCTACGTGACACTACATCCTGATTTGGGGTGGAGGAAGCTAGGGAGCCTTGGTGATTTTTGGACCTGTGAGGGTACTTATATTAGATAGGGAGGTAAGAGAAAATGTTTTGAAGTAGAGGTAGAGTCCCTATGGATTTTTATTCACATTAGGAGACTATGTCAGAGGCACCTAGGCAGCTTTCTTTCCATAGTCTTCTGCTTTTTTGGTCTAGTTAAGAGTTTCTATATTATTTTTATCATACATTTAAATACACATTTTCTCTATCCTCCCCACCCACCTAAGACCAAATATTGTTCACATGCACACACATAACAATACTAGAGTAAATAGCATATCCATTTTTATAACTATAGCTGCTGGTTGGTGCAGTGGATAGAGTGCTGGGCCTAGAGGCTGGAGGACCTGAGTTTGAAATCTGGCCTCAGATACTTACTAGATGTGTGAACCTGGGCAAGTCACTTGACCTCTGTTTGTTTCAGTTTCTTCAACTGTAAAGTAGGGACCCTGCAGAAGAAAACGTCAAACCACTCCAGTATCTTTGCCAAGGAAACCCAATAAAAATGGAGTCACAAAGAGTCAGACACAACTAAATATGACTCAAGAATAATTTTATAGCTATATGAAGAAAAGTTAGGGTGCTGACCCATTAAGGTATCTAAAAGATGAAGGATAGAAGAGGCATAAGTGATCCCAAACAACAGGAACTCCCACTTACTTTGGAACAGATTGGTTTCTTCTTGGGATAGTAATAGTAGCTCACATTTATAAAAAGGCTTTAGAGTTTACAGATTGTTTTCCTCACAACATTTTGTGAGGCAAACAGGACAAGGAGTTTTATTTCCATGCAGATAAGGGGTACTTCTATTTGGTGAATATAAATGATTTGTCTAGGGTTACATAACTATTAAGTGACCAAGTTCAAGTTGGAACCTAGGTGCATGGTTCATTCTTCTATTTTACCATTGTGATTTTGTACATGAGTCTTATTTTTTTTTTCTTCTATTCCATTGAGTTGTATAGAAAAGAAACCTTTCCTTGATCAGGATCAAGCTTTGAAAATTTTTCTTCTATGTTCCTTTACATTCCCTTCCAAAACTGTTAGAAAAGTTATTATGATTAGAATTTTCATCTTTGGTACATTGAAGTTCTGTATGGAATTTTCATTTTCTGGAATTAAATCCAAACATTTGATTTTCCAAATAAGCTTCTTGTAGCCAGAGTAGGATGTGAATTCACCAGTTGTGCAGACTTCACTGTTGTGCATGAGTTCCCCATTGGTTCATACAATTCATGTGGCTTTTGTTTTCCATTCATGTGACCTCTTATTATATCCGTCATTCCATTTTTCTTTCCTATTAGAGTGAATTTGGACACAGCCCTCCTCCTGCCTACACCCCCATGTCAGGAGTAAGTATTTCACAAACAACCTTCATCTTTTAGGCCTTTTGGCCCTTTGGACATACCATGTCTACTCTCCCTTTATCTTCCATAATTTTCCCAATCCCCCTCCCAATCCTTTTATCCCTCCCCCTGCCAACAGTGAGTAAGATGCTACAGTCCATTGTCTGGACATGTCAACAGATGCTTTTTATCCCAGACTGGAACTCATTAGAAAACTTAGAGTTCAGGGATATTAGAGATCAGCAATAGCTTTCAGTTTTTCTTCAAGGGATTTACTTGAGCTCATAAATTATGCTCTTGAATTAAGGGGCTAGTTTTAGCTCCAAATTTTCATGTCATGTTCTGTAAAGTAATAATCTGACTATAGCCTTCTAGTATAGTACTAGAGATTGAAAGCCATAGTAGCCTCAGGGAAAGGTAGTGAACAGGGAAACTTCAACTTTAAAACACATCAGCATATTTCTGTTTGTAATGACAATTGTCTATAGGCATTGACAACTCCATTTTCTGGAAGAGATTCTAACTTCATGCCACAAATAAGCTAAGTACATATAATGTGGTTGTTTTCTTGTTTTTTTGTTTTTTGCCAGGTCAGGCTTAAGTTGTGTTGAAAAAGCAAAATGGATAATGTATCATTACCAGGTATTTTATAAAGGATTCATCATTTAAGGAAAATTATATTTCAGGTGTTTTTAGTCTATATCTCATTTAAGGAAAAAAAGACAACTTTTTTTTTTTTCTGAAAGAAGAGCTTTGATAGTCCTTTATGATCTCACTGCTGCTCTTGGTGTTTCTGCTATTCCTATCATCACCTCCTCTCAAAATGTCTTTTTGCTTTTCACAGAACCAGTTTGTGTATAGAGATGGGGGCTTTGCTACAGAACAAGGAGTATCTCTGCCATACAGGGCCACCAGCTGTATAATCCCCGAAGCCCCTGTTGTACAAGGGGCCACAGCAGAAATTTTTGATGACACGTGTTGTAATGGCACTCTGCGCAAACAAGTGGCACCCCTTGTCCAGGAGGACAGCAGCACCCAAAGATATAGTGCTGACCCCACGGTGTTTGCAGCGGAACGGAGCCCACGAGGAGAAATGGATGAAGATGGGTATATGACTCCAATGCGTGACAAACCCAAACAAGGTATATATATATATATATATTGATTTCATTCTTAATCATACGTGACAGCTGATGAGTAGTGGACAGAATCATTGAGTAGGATATTCTCTATCCTGAAAAAGCATTGTGAGATACAAATTGGATAGTATCTCAAAATTAATATCTTGTTTGACAGTTGACAAGGATTTGGCCAATATACTTTTGATTGACGATGTAGAAGTATATTTTTTATTGTGCTGAAAGCATTCGTTTGCAGATTGAAGTTGTAAGCATTTAGCAAAGCTAGAAATGGCCTTGTGTAAATCACTTAACCCTTAGTGTTCCAAAACTCTTTGATGCTACAAACTTCAGAGGAGGTACTCATCTGGATGAGAAGAGAAAGTTCTTCAACCAAAGGCACCTAGCCTAGCTAATTTCATTAGCAATGAAATTAAAGGTCCAGTTGAAAAAAAGAAAAGAAATGAAGAGTAATTGGACCTGTCAGACTTGAGTATACAAATATGAGAAATTTTAATTCCTTAAAATTACATTTTAAAAATTAAGATTCTAAACTCTGTCCTAAGGAAATCCACCTCCACAGTCCTTACAAGAATGGATAACATTTTCTTTTATGCCACAGCAATAGTTTGTAGTGGGGAGACTAATCAAGAATTTTGAAATGTTTATTATATGGAGTCTTTCCTTTTCAAAAATGGAAAGATTTGATCAGATGTTGCGAAATGCTGACGCTTTGGGCTCCCTTATTTAACTTTAACTGGATGACCTATTTTTCAAACACTTTCAACTTTGTATACAGGATCTTAGAAATATTGATCCAGAACTGGAAGGGATCTCAGAGTCCAATCTAGTCCAAGCCCTTCATTATACAGGTGAGGTTACTGAGGGCCATAGAGCTTAACTAATGTATTCAAAGTCACAGAGGTAGCAAATGGCAGAGCCAAGGAGATTGAACTCAAGCCCTGTGACTCCAAGTTCAGGTCTCTGTCCCATTGTGAAACATAATAATATATGTTTATGTATGTGTGTGTGTATATATATATATATATACACATACATATATATATGCACACACATATATATGCAAATATCATATATACATAAACATCTATGACATCATCAAAGCAAAAAGTTACAGAAGAGTCAAACATCTTGAGCTCAATAACAAAATTAATTAAAAGTTTTAAGATGATAAAAAGCCTCCTAAAAACAAGAGAATAATACAACCTTAATTGAATTAAGTTTATCTTTCCCTTCATTAAGATTTAATCATGCCAACATTATAACATGTAGTCAACAGAAATATAAATCACTTTTTTTCCAAAGGTAGCATAAAGCTTTTCAAGGTAGAGAACAGTACATAAAAATAGGTTAGAATACTATTACATGGGTGTGATGTTTGTGGTTAAATGAACAAAGGCTATTCCATACCCACTCCTAAAATTAGCCCCCTACCATGAGGGAACCCAGAATGTCCTTAAGCTACCCCCACCATTGACCCTTCTCCTCCACCCCCCCCAAAAAAAACCTGAGCCCTACCTTAGCTGTAATAAAATATCATTTCAAGTTTTCAAATCATAAAAGACACTTAGCATTAAATAGCGTATTTGCTTTGAAATAAAAGCTTTCAACCTACAATCTGTTTTATTTGCCTTGTGGACAAAAAAAAAAGTGTAGTATTTCAGTTGATGCAGATTGGTCTGCATCATGCAGATTAGGTATTCTTAAATTCTGGTCCAGAGTTTAAAAGATAGATACCACATAAATTAAGAGGCTGAGTGTATTTCAAGAGCCCCATTGTGATTTTTTAGGGCCTACACCATGAGTAAACCAACTAAACTATCCAATGATAGATTTAACATTTTCATGTATATATATCTTCTTAACATTCTGTGTGAAAAAAAAAATCTGAATTTTGAAAGCTTAGCCAATTCTTTTTTAAAGAATCCACAATATGCTACTAAAAGTATATGGCAAATTTTCTTTCTGTCCATATTCTCTTCAAATGAATCACATAAAAAAATAAAATCACAGATTTACAACTCAGACTGCCCTTAGAAGCTATCTAGGTGAATGACCATATCTGAGATCCTGCCCAACCCAAATCCACCTAATAACTAAAAATATAGCCCTCATCCTTTGAGCTCATAATGAATCTGAAAAAAGGTATAAGGTATATTGCTTCTAGAAATATGCACATAAAGTACCTTTACTGCCTCTAGTATACTACAGGTATATCTAGTACTTGAGTTGTAATACATTCACTAACTGGTGGTTCATGGCCAGTGTTTTATTATTATTATTATTTTGAAATCTAACATGTATAAACTCCTGGTTATCTAGCCTTATTTCCTTTCCTGATTTGACATCCTGCTTTTAGAAAATCTCTACTAATGGCAGCTACCACCAAATTGTCACAAGCAATACATAGTTATGTGGGCAACTAGGTGGTGCAATGGATAGAGCACTGGGTTGGAGTCAGGAAGACTCATCTTCATGAATTTATATTTGGCCTCAGATACTTACTAGCTGTGTGACCCTGGGCAAGTCACTTAACCCTGTTTGCTTCAGTTTCCTCAACTACAAAATGAGCTGGAGAAGGAAATGGCAATCCACTCCAGTGCCTTTGCCAAGAAAACCCCAACATGGAGTCATGGAGAATCAAACATGACTGAACAACAAATACACAGTTACGGAGCAGGCACATCTTTTCTCTTCACTGTTGGCTGTGTTTGGATCAAAGCCATCACTTGTTTGTAAATCTTTGTCTTGGAATGGGGGCTAAGCCATACCTATTCTGGTTTTCCTGCCAGTTTTTAGTTGAATCCTGATTTCTCTACACTCTGAGGCCTCTAAGTATTCCCAGATAAGCTTCTGTTCACTCAACAAGTTTATACCAATTTGGACAATAGCACATTGAGAAAATGGGCCAGAATTAAGAGGAGAGATTTAGTTCTGGAGGAATGTAATGGAAAGTATAGTTAGTAGGAAGGAGTAGTACCCTCAGAGTGAGAAGGATTAATGCTAATCCCAGCCCTGCTGTTGATCTATCATTTCTTCACTACATACCCTCCCCTTTCCTTCTGTTGCCATGGTGATAGTAATCTGTAAAATAGTTTTTACAAGAATTCATGAAAACAAAGCCAATAGCTTTGAGATCCCCAGAAAAAGGAATCAGTTGTAATTAAAAGGGATTTCATAATAACCTTGATATAATACAAGTATTACGTAGGAAATAGAGGTTGACTATGAGTTTTTATCTGTTTCAGATTACCTGAACCCTGTGGAAGAGAATCCTTTTGTTTCTCGGCGAAAGAATGGTGACCTTCAAGCCTTGGATAACCCTGAATATCATAATGCCTCCAGTGGGCCACCAAAAGCAGAGGATGAGTACGTGAATGAGCCACTGTACCTCAATACCTTTGCCAACACCTTGGGAAATGCAGAGTACCTGAAGAACAATGGCCTACCTGGACCGGAGAAAGCCAAGAAAGCTTTTGACAACCCTGATTACTGGAACCACAGCCTTCCTCCTCGGAGCACCCTTCAACACCCAGACTACCTGCAGGAGTACAGCACAAAATATTTTTACAAACAGAATGGACGGATCCGGCCTATTGTGGCAGAGAACCCTGAATACCTCTCTGAGTTCTCCCTGAAGCCAGGCACTGTGCTGCCTCCTCCACCCTACAGACACCGAAACACGGTGGTGTAGGCCTGTTAGCGTTCCAGAAGTGGAGAGACATTCCCTCTCCAGTGTCCATGCTCCACCCCTCTTTGGTCCCCCCTCTCTTTCTCTTGTGGGCTTCCTCTACTTTCCAGGCCAGTCTTTTTGAGATATCCAAACAGAAGCTGTTAAGGATGCACTGAAAGAATGAAAAGTCCTGTGCTATTCTCGTTTGGAACTTAGAATGAAGGAAAGAAAGAGAAAGACAGGAGGGACCACACTGTTTTTGGTTTCTCCACGTGGTGAGGTCATGACAGAATGGCCAGGGAACGACCAGTAAATGTCACTTGGCAGTGTTGCTTGCTGTCAAAATAGTTCTTGATTTTTAAAACTCAGATGCTATAGAGAAAGTCACATGGTGTCTGTTTCTATCAGCAGGAACTGATGAGTGCATATTCAGCATTACTGGAAATAATAATGTAGTTTCCATTAGGAAAAGGACAATTTTTTATATCACATATGATAGTATAATAATTGAGATTGAGAATCCAATTTCTGTAACAATTTCTATCCCGGCAACTGAAAATGGTGAACTTTGGCTTTCATAACTATTTGAATCTCCATCAAAGTTATGAGAAATAATTATACGATTTCTTGTCTTTGGCCAATCCCTTCATCTTAGCCCCTCTCCCAGTTTTTGGTTCTTTTTTTCTAATTGCAGAGATATTACATTGATGCTTCAGTACATGTCATTAGCATTTTTATGTGTTGAGATAATTTAACAAAATAGTTTAAATAAGAATTCCTCTTAGGATTGCAAAAATGGCAAACCCTCAAATATGCACTTTTTGAGGTTAAAAAGGAGGCCAAGACATAAGGTTTATACAACCGAAATCTTACTTCCATGATTTATTGTAATAAACATGAGACTTACATACATAAAGCACATCTCCCAAAACTTTCACTGCTCCTTCCAGCTCATTATTGATCATAGTTAAAAGGCAGTAAGCAATGCTGGATCTAAGAAAGAAACCAAGAGACAGTTCCATGTGGTTCATGAAAACTGCTGATATGTTCAGGGGTGGCCCACTAAGTAATCTTTTAAACTGGAAGAAAAACACTGGATTGGGTGAGCTTACATACCTGGCAAAATGCTCAGGAATGTAGTTTGCACTTAAGCTACAATTTTATTCGTTCTCATTCTGAACTCTTCTGGATTTTGAAAGAAGCAATATGGAAGTGACCAGCAAATTCAAATTATTTAAATGTTTTTTTTTTTTTTAAAGAGTAATGATGAAGAAAGACTGTGGAAACGCCAAACCAAGTAAATTACATCTTTGGAACAATACCCAGGGATTATGGGAGGGCCAAGCACATTGTCTACTTGTGACATCACAACGATGTTATGGAGAAAGGCCACCCAGTCCTCATTCTCCATATGAAGGAAATTGACATGAACAAGACCTGAACTGAAGTCCATGGAGTGTCTAGTATTAGGACTATAGTTGTTGAATTAGAAGTTAACTCTAGCACATAAGGTGGTGTAGTATGTAGAAGGTTGAAAAAAATACAGACATGCATGGCTCAGAGAAATTGGGATTATAAAAAGTATAAATGATCATAATGATTTTTTCCAAGGTTTGATTTTATTTTCTGACACGCTGATCTTTTTTTTTAACTTTTGCATAATGAGTTCAGTTTTATTTAACCATTATGTTAATTTAGAAAACCTTTCCATTGTATCATTGTGAATTTTAACACTACTAGATGTGAGATGGTGATGGGCCTAGTGGCAGGAATGAGAGCTTCAGATGCACTAGAAATGTTCTTTCTTCTTTGGGGTGTGAGTAAAAAAAAAAATCTACCTAAGATAAACAGACTTAGAGATACATTCAAATCTAAAACCTAAGCAATTTCATTGAAAACTATCACTGGCCTTTTAGAGGGGGTTTGTGGAAACCCCAGAGTAAAGGCCATTTTTCTATATAGTTTGTACGAGTAAATTGCCTTGGAGTGGCCATTGAGTTCCTTTATTTGTACATATCTTATTGGACTCTTATCATTCAGGGACTGTTAACAGAGACTGATTTTTTTTTTTTTGTCCTCTGTAATTTGGAAAGAGTACCTTATGATTTCATTCAGAGAACATGGGTAATCAAGATGATGCTGCCAATTATATTAAATGCTGCCACTGCATTGTGAACTAGGCTAGAGTGATATGGAAACCCTATATAAATTGGACTGCCTGGACAGAGAAACTCAAGAGGACTCAGAGCTAGTCTTATAACTGTTTCACCAAGAAATCAGCTGTACAAATATAAATCCTAATGGTAATTAGGGGACTTTAGCCATAAACCCCAGAAGGAGAACAGTCAGGAGGGGAAAGTCTTTCCAAGCCATGAAAAAGAGAAACAGTGTCAAGGGAAGAATATAAGTCTTTCCAGAATAGCACCAGCAACTAGAATGGCTTCCTGGAGGAAAGGAGTAAAATGAGGGTATCTTTAATAATTCAGGGTTTACTAGGGACATATCAGTAGCCTTCAGCCCATTCATTCATTTGAATGGATCTCTTAAACAAAGAGAGCCTTCACAAAATGGGTTCTAGTATACTTTTTTTTTTTAAATCATTCGGTCTCCAGGTAGTCAGTAATGCCAACATTTTCCTTATTCCCCTCTTTAAAAAAAAATATCATATTTACATAGTGTCTACCATAATAATACTTGGATATTATGAAAAAATGGTGAAGAAAATGGTTACTTTGTGGGCAGTAAATGAGGGTTCTGTTGAGGTGTGATAGGTAAGTGGTTGCTGAGAAGTAAGAGGGTCTTAATCCCACTGCACCATTAAAAAGATCTGACCCTTAATGGCTCAGACAAACTTCAAGTAGAAGATGGACCAGTAGTATACTGTGTTATCCAAATTGAACCAAATAACTCTTACTGATTATTCTCCCTTAATTATTCCAGCAATATTTATGTTGTTTTTCTAAGAAACGTATCTGGATGTGATATGCTCGGAGGAGTGAAAATATGTCATTGGTTTCCAAGATGGTGGCTTTTGGCTAGTACAGCCAAACAAAAAAAAACTGCAGTTGGGATATTCATTGTTCTCCAGGGGATCAGATTCCAGGGGATGGTTTTACTAATGGGAACTTTCAGATTTGCTTGCGTAAATTTATGATATCTGAAAGTAAATTCCACTTGAGTGAACTTTTCAAATCTACAAATCTTGTTGGTAGATAAACCTCCCTTGGGAAATCACATTTCTAGCAATGAACAGCTTTTAAGATAAGTGGTTATTAACATGCTTAAGTAGCTCTTACATGGCAAGATGTAGAGAAGCTCACTGCCCCTAAACTGGGTTAGGCCCTAGCGCCTGCAGAAGCATCTCAAAGAGGTATGTGTGCATGTATTTCCCCATGGAGATACTTCTTTCCTGGACTTCCCAATGGCATAAACAGGACTTATGGTTATGCGTCAGGCCAAAAGTCAAGCCTTTTTTTTCAATAAGCTTCTTTAAAATAGTAAATAATGTTGAATAGAAATTAGTCAAAGAGTTAAAAATGGAAGTCAAAATTTAATGTTTCATCTCATTCAATGTAAATGCAAGAGGACTCAGTCATCACATAGATACACTGCAAAGCATAACATAAAACACACAGAATCCACTCATTTTTTAAAAATATCTTAAGGAAGGACAGTCAGAGAGGTATGTGGTTACCTCTCTATTGTTGGAGTAAACCCAGGAAAAAGACCTCAGGGTCCTGCTGCTAAATGAAGCTGGATCATCTATCTGTTTTCTGGAATGTCAAGACTGAACAAAACATTTTTTTTTCCCTAAAGCCCTACAGGAAAAGATGTAAATACAAATTTGCTCTAGAGCTAACTCTTCTTTCAAAACTTGAATTATTTATTCAGTGGTAATTGTTGCTTATTAAACTATTTTATTCAGTTATAAAGCATTAGAAGAAATAGTCATGAAAAGCTCATGAGGAGGTCCGTTTTGGCACTGGAAGGGGAAAATATTTTCTCCAAGCACTGGACAAGCAAACCAAATGAAATTACTAACCACAGAATACTTGATGACAAAAATAAGTTCAGAGGGAGAATTCAGGGTTGGCTAAACACAAGCAAATAACTGCTATCAGTATCTTTGCTTTCTGGATAGAGCATTGTGAGCTATTTAAAGAGCTGAACCCATTGATGATAACTTGTTTTATGGAAGGTTTTTTTTGTTCTTTTTTAAAGGTGGCATTCTAAAAGATACCTTCAAACACTGAAAAAAATATTTTTGACTTTTTTTAAACCTCCTTTTAGACCTTTCTCTGTCTTTTTCATTTAATATCATATAAAGCCAGTTAGGAAGCTAGGGAAGAGAATGTATCACCATCTCAAATAAAACTAACCTCTCCTCACTAACCAAGAGTCAGTTACAGTAAAAAGTCTCTCATCTGGCATGTAGGGAAATGGAGAAGGTACGTGTGTATGTGGGGTGTGTGGTATGTTACTTTAAACAAAATTTCACTCCTCCACTACCTTCGGTTCTTCCTCCTAAGACCTATTAGTGAAATATGTGTATTATTACTTGAGTGAAAACAGAATGTGAATGCACTCTCTCCTCAAAAATAAAAAGAAACAAAATAGTGAAATATAATAGACTACCGTTTGCATTTCAGTTGGCTTGGATACCAGGTATTGGACTGATAATTCATAGTTAGCATTATCAGGAATGTTTGTGTTCTCCAGTTTTCTGAAAGGGAAAGCTCCTGACAAAACCTCTCTGGGTATACATGGACGTTACACATCCGGCTGAAGACCAACTCAGCACGCATGGGAGGTCTGCAGGAGGAGGCTGTTGAGCCAGTTGCTCAGGCCGAAATGACACTGGACAGATGTTGATTAGCTGAAAGCATTATTTTAAAAAGATGAATAGCAAAGAAACAGTCCTTAGTATGACTAATATTGCAAAGGGGCCAGCTCTTTCCTATCAGATTAAGAATAAATGCAAGTAGATCAGCCCCAGAGATACCTCAGTAAGCCTACTCCCCTACAGTAGCAAACCTGACATCTTCTGTGTGTTCTCAGGCCAGAAACCCTTCTGTTTCTATGACAAATTGTCTGTTAACACTG